GATGGAGCTAGAGGGTATTATGCTCAGTGAAATAAACCAGGTGGAGAAAGACAAGTACCAAATGATTTCACTCATATGTGGAGTATAAGAACAAAGAAAAAACTGAAGGAACAAAACAGCAGCAGAATCACAGAACCCAAGAATGGACTAACAGTTACCAAATGGAAAGGGACTGGGGAGGATGGGAGGGAAGGGAGGGATAAGGGGGGAGGAAAAAGAAAGGGACATTATGATTAGCATGTATAATGTGTGTGGGGGCATGGGGAGGGCTGTGCAACACAGAGAAGACAAGTAGTAATTCTACAGCATCTTACTATGCTGATGGACAGTGACTGTAATGGAGTTTGTCAGGGGACTTTTTTTAGATAATAATTCATACCTATTCAACTGATAAAACTAAATCTAAACAATAAAACCTAAGGTCATTTGGACTATAAGATAAGGAATGTACAGGCAGAGCTATAAAATAGTACACATCTTCGGACTGTCCTCCAGTTAAAATATAAAAGAGGTCATAAAATTTCTCATTACCTGAATAACTTTTCTTATTTTTCCCCCCAAAATTAAATAGAGGCATAAAAAGCTAACTCTATTAAAAAAAAGTCTGTTCACAGAAATGAAAAATTAGAAAGTAACATGTGAGAATGGTTTATATATGCTGTAATTCTACTACTGAACATTCTGTATTAAAAGGTAGACTGTAACCTTTCAATACAAGTTCATTTAAAAGGTGAAAAAACATGATTTTACATTAATTATAGCATAATGTTAATAACTTAGATTAACTGATAAGAGTCAGAAGCAGATACAAAGGGATATGATGTTGGATATTTTAAGGTTTGTGTATTAAAATGTTTATATACATTATTTAAAAAATGCATCTACAAAAATGTTCCTTAAGACATTAGCTAAAATTGGACATAAATTCTCCATTATTGCCCCACCCTTTTTTGTCAGGAAAATTTTTCAATTTTGAGAGAAAAGCAATTTAAATTGCAGCAATCCTCCCTTATCCCCAAATCTTTTTCTTTTTTTGGTATCATTAATCTACAATTACATGAGGAACATCATGTTTACTAGACTCCCCCCATCACCAAGTCCCCCGACAAACTCCATTACAGTCACTGTCCATCAGTGTAGTAAGATGCTACAGAATTACTACTTGTCTTCTCTACGTTGTACAACCCTCCCCATGCCCCCCTTCTACATTATGTCTGCTAATAGCAATGTCCCTTCCCCCCCCTTATCCCTCCCTTCCCACCTATCCTCCCCAGTCCCTTTCCCTTAGGTAACAGTCAGTCCATTCTTGGGTTCTGTGATTCTGCTGTTTTGCCTTTAGTTTTTTTCTTTGTTCTTATACTCCACAGATGAGTGACATCATTTGATACTTGTCTTTCTCTGCCTGGCTTATTTCACTGAGCATAATACCCTCTAGCTCCATTCATGTTGTTGCAAATGGTAGGATTTCTTTTCTTCTTATGGCTGAATAATATTCCATTGTGTATATGTACCACATCTTCTTTATCCATTCATCTACTGATGGACACTTAGGCTGCTTCCATTTCTCGGCTATTGTAAATACTGCTGGAATAAACATTGGGGTTCATATGTTTTTTTCAAACTGGGCTGCTGCATTCTTAGGGTAAATTCCTAGAAGTGAAATTCCTGGGTCAAATGTTATTTCTATTTTGAGATTTTTGAAGAACCTCCATAGTGCTTTCCACAATGGTTGAACTAATTTACATTCCCACCAGCAGTGTAGGAGGGTTCCCCTTTCTCCACAACCTCGCCAACATTTGTTGTTGCTTGTCTTTTGGATGGTGGCCATCCTAATTGGTGTGAGGTGATATCTCATTGTGGCTTTAATTTGCATTTCTCTGATGATTAATGATGTGGAGCATCTTTTCATGTGTCTGTTGGCCATCTGAATTTCTTCTTTGGAGAACTGTCTGTTCAGCTCCTCTGCCCATTTTTTAATTGGATTATTTGCTTTTTGTTTGTTGAGGTGCATGAGCTCTTTATATATTTTGGAAGTCAACCCTTTATCGGATGTCATTTATGAATATATTCTCCGATACTGTAGGATACTTTTTGTTCTACTGATGGTGTCCTTTGCTGTACAGAAGCTTTTCAGCTTGATATAGTCCCATTTGTTCATTTTTGCTTTTGTTTCCCTTGCCCGGGGAGATATGTTCATGAAGAAGTCGCTCATGTTCATGTCCAAGAAATTTTTGCCTATGCTTTTTTCTAAGAGTTTTATGATTTCATGACTTACACTCAGGTCTTTGATCCATTTAGAATTTACTTTTGTGTATGGGGTTAGACAATGATCCAGTTTCATTCTCTTTCATGTAGCTGTCCATCCCCAAATCTTAATGACATGCAGGACAACACACACACAGAAAGATTCATTTAATTTTTCATTCTGTTATGTCTTTCATAAGAAGTTAAACCCTACACATAAACTCCAGGGTTGGTTCATTTTATGGATCTGAGTAAAAGCACTGAAGTTCCAACAGTTAAAGCATTTGGTATCAGAAGACACTCATATTTGGTTTTATCCTTCTGGACAGAAATTACTATATGAATGCAAGAAAATACAAAATATAAGATGCTCAAGGAACACAGAGTATTATGTAATTGTTAGAGAGAAACTTTGTTTTAGGGTTGAGTAAACTAAAACCAGAGGTGAAGGCATTGCCTCATGAAGTCTAACTGTAACAGAAACAATACTGTAACTCCAGACTGAACTTCCTTGTCTGAATTTTGCCCTTCATGTAGAATACTGAGCACATGATTCTCTTTTAAAAATACATTCCTAATATTGCCTTAGGCCATTTATTCCTTTTCCTTAATTAAATCTTTAACTATTTTATTACTTAGATTTCATGGTATAACAGCATGCTTTTAAGTTTTGAGTGTTTTAAGTTTATAAATTCAAACTTCTTCAGTGTGTTAACTCACACTTTAAAGACCTCTTAAAAATCCTAAAATGAG